AGGACCAGGATGCCATGAAAAATAGCCTTGGTTAGAAATAGGTCATTTGATCCTTGGCTAATTTGCAGCTCTCTACATTTTCTGGTATACAATGTTCACTCAGATGTGCAAAGCAATTTTATCTTGCAAAGAATTTCAGATTTTGAATGTTGCTCATATTTTACCACATATACAAGTGAATTAAACTTTTACAGAATAGAAAAAAGGCATTGTTCAGCAAAACAAATTAAATGAAAAGACATAAAGGAATAACTAGTGATGAAATAGCAATAAGAATGGAAAACACGAAAGAGCTGCTTTTAAAGCAATGTTAGAAGCACAAAATAACAGTGTTTTTCATAATCATACTGGAGTCCAAATCACTTCTACACATCTAAAGATCTTAAACTGATCATAGGATGCCCACTGAATAACCAATTATTGAAAAATCTTGCTCCTAAATTGGAGTTAACCATTTCTGCCTACCACATCAAACCAAATCATTGTCATGATGCTAAGCTAGTTGTACAGACAGAGATGTGAGATTCAAACTTGTCTAACTGCAAAGCACCCTGATTAGGCAAATATTTTTGTAGATGCTTGAGTAAGAAAATTGGCATTTTTGAACTGAATGAGAAACTTCTGAGGAAAAATAAAGGTAGTTTATGATTATAAAGGCATCATTGTATGGCACCGAAGTCTTGGGATTCTTTGATCTAGCTACTGTATTTTCTCAACTTTGTTGCAACTTATCAAAGAGAACATTAATATTAAAGGCATTTGCAAAAAAAAAAAAAACTGAGATATTTTTGTATCTCCCTTCTCTGTCTCAAATTTTTACTCATTACTTTAGTAAAGAGAATTTTAATGTATTAAGGAAAATTAGTCCAATACAAGAAGTATTTGATTTACAAAATCCTGAAACAATAATGTTATTTTGTTTTTAACGTGTATATGAATTCTTTGATACTCCTCCTTTCCAGAGGTGCAGCTTCATTCCCTCCCTGTGAGTATGGCCTGGACTTAATGACTCGACTCACTTCTAAATGATAGAGTAATGCTGACATAAGAGTTTGTGACACTGGGTGTAGAACATAAGACTCACTAGGCCGGGCACGGTGACTCATGCCTGTAATCCCACCACTTTGGGAGGCTGAGGTGTGCCATGAGGTCAGGAGCTCAAGACGAGCCTGCCCAAAATGGTGAAACTCCATTTCTGCTAAAAATAGAAAAAATTAGCCAGGTGTGGTGGCATATGTCTGTAATCCCAGCTACTTGGGAGGCTGACACAGGAGAATCGCTTGAACCCTGAAGACGGAGGTTGCAGTGAGCCAAGATCGAGCCACTGCACTCCAGCCTGGGCAACAGGTTGACAGTCCATCTCAAAAAAAAAAAAAAAAAAGACTCACTGCAGCTTCTACTTTGGTTCTCTCTTTATCTGGGATCATAAGCCCTGGGGGACTCCGGCTGCTGTATCATAAGGAGGCCTGTGGAAAGGTCTATGTGACTAGGAAGTGAGGTGTCCTGGGATCAAACAATGAGAAGCTGAAGCCTCTTCCAACAGCCACATGAGAGATTTTTGTGTCTTGTGAATCCCCCGCCCCATTTGAGCCCTCAGATGATTCAGTCCTGGATGACAACTAGACTGCAATGTTGTGAGAGGCCCTGAGCCAGCAGCACTCAGAGAAACTGCTCCTGGATTCCTGACCATTGGAAACTGTGGGAGATGATAAATATTTGTCGATTTGAGCTGCTAAGTTGTAGGTGACTTGTTATGCAGCAGTAGATAACTAATACAGCTTCACAAGAGAGGATGAATCATTGAACTTTTCATTTGCTCTAAATTCATTATCAGATACCAAACATGTCATTTGCTTTTAATATTTAAGAAGAATTTCCATGGCTATATAAGAACACATTTTATTATCATTAACAATGATCTATTTTTTGATCTTCAACTTGTATGTTCCATTTAAACACAAAAGGAAGAGCTATGCTATGCTAGGCTGTTTCTATGATGACACCTCAATAACCACCCTTGGTTATTCACATTACCCCAGTTACTCAGTTGACACTAATGCAGATGCTGCTGTGAAGGGGTTTTGCAGATAGATTTCAGGTCCCCAGTCAGTTGACTTGAAGATGGGGATTATCCTGTTGGACTGTCCTAATCAGGTAAGCTCTGAAAAGGACTGGGTTCTTCCTGAGAACAGAGACTTACAGTGTAGAGGGGTTCAGTGTGAGGGGTTTCCTCCACTGTGGGCTTTGAAAATGGAGGGATCATGGGGAAAGAACACTGGTGGCCAATAGGAATTAGAGGCCCTTCCCACTGTCTACTCTGATAGCCTGAAGGAAACAGGGGCCTTAGTCCTACAATGGCCAGAAACCGAATTCTGCCAATAAGCTCTATATAAGCTTCAGGGAGAACCCCAGTCTTAAGATGAGGATACAGCTTTGCAAAACCCTGAACAAAGTATCTATCAAACTTGGCCTGGATTCTGATGAAGGAAATGTAGACAAATAAATGGGTGCTGCCTTAAGCCACTAAGTTTGTGGTCATTGGTTATGAACTAATAGAAAATTGATAAAAGGACTAGGCACCAAGTTGTCCGAATAGGAACAGCTCCAGCCTCCAGCTCCCAGCATGAACAACACAGAAGATGGATGATTTCTGCATTTCCAACTGAGCCTTTGCTGCTGATACTGAAGCAAACAGGGTCTGGACCTCAAGCAAACCCCAACAGACCTGCAGCTGAGGGTCCTGACTGTTAGAAGGAAAACTGACAAACAGAAAGGACATCCACATGAAAACCCCATCTGTACGTCACCATCATCAAAGACCAAAGGCAGATAAAACCACGAAGATGGGGAAAAAGCAGTGCAGAAAAGCTGAAAATTCAAAAGACCAGAGTGCCTCTCCACCTCTAAAGGAATGCAGCTCCTCGCCAGCAACAGAACAAAGCTGGATGGAGAATGACTTTGACGAGTTGAGAGAAGAAGGCTTCAGTCAATCAAACTTCTCAGAGCTAAAGGAGTAACTACAAACCCAGCACAAAGAAACTAAAAACTTTGAAAAAAGATTTAAAGAATGGATAACTAGAATAACCAATGCAGAGACATCCATAAACGACCTGATAGAGATGAAAACCATGACAAGAGAACTACGTGACAAATGTACAAGCTTCAGTAACCGACTTGATCAACTGGAAGAAAGAGTATCAGTGATTGAAGACCAAATGAATGAAATGAAGCAAGAAGAGAAGTTTAGAGAAAAAAGAGTAAAAAGAAATGAACAAAGCCTCCAAGAAATATGGGATTATGTGAAAAGACCAAATCTATGTCTGATTGGTGTACCTGAAAATGACGGGGAGAATGGAAACAAGTTGGAAAACACTCTGCAGGATATTATCCAGGAGAATTTCCCCAACCTAGTAAGGCAGGCCAACATTCAAATTCAGGAAATACAGAGAATGCTACAAAGATACTCCTTGAGAAGAACAATTCCAAGACACATAATTGTCCGATTCACCAAAGTTGAAATAAAGGAAAAAATGTTAAGGGCAGCCAGAGAGAAAGGTCGGGTTACCCACAAAGGGAAGCCCATCAGACAAAAGCAGACCTCTCAGCAGAAACTCTACAAGCCAGAAGAGAATGGGGGCCAATATTCAACATTCTTAAAGAGAAGAATTTTCAACCCAGAATTTCATATCCTGTCAAACTAAGTTTCATAAGTGAGGGAGAAATAAAATCCTTTACAGACAAGCAAATACTGAGAGATTTTGTCACCACCAGACCTGCCCTACAAGAGCTCCTGAAGGAAGCACTAAACATGGAAAGGAACAACCGGTACCA